ACTACCGCATTAGAATGAACCGCGAGCTGTACGAGCTTTATCACGACATTGACGTAATTCAGCGCATTAACATCCAGCGGCTTCGCTGGCTTGGTCATGTCGTGAGAATGGATGAAGACGCTCCGGCGAAAAAGGTGTTTGAAGCAGTAATTGGCGGAAGAAGACGTAGAGGTAGACCGTGTCTCCGGTGGAGTGATCAAGTTGAGGGAGCACTAACTGGACTTGATATACGAGACTGGAGAAGGCGCGCACGCAGCAGAGGCGCCTGGGGAGACATGCTGCGTCAGGCCGAAACTCGGTAACGGGTTGTTATGGCCACATAAGTAAGTAAGTAACGTCCGCTTGGGACGTGCGTTTAATTAAGATATTTAGTTAAGATTCTTGATGTAAAGTATTTTTATTAGCAGAGAGGTTTTTACCGAACAGTAGTGACATCGCACCAACAAAAATTACCTATTGCCAAATACCGACCATTAGTGGGCTTGAAATTATTTCCTATACTTAATTATTTGAAAAAAAAATTTTTTTTGAAACTGCAAGTACCAAGAGTTGCACTCGTGCCCTGCTAAATCTAATGCTCAAAGTCGGTGTTTTTTAGCCAACTGACACAAAGCCGTACATGACTTGTATGTTCGCACTTGGAGTTTTGTTAATTTGATGTGAAAGTTCATTAACAAATTCACTGTGTTAGAACGAAATCATAAACCACCTGTAGAATAATTGAATTAATTAATTATATTTTTTATTTTTTAATTGTTAAATTTCAATGCTATTCTTTTGTAGAGGCAATATTTATTGCACGATTGTATCACTATTTTTTATCTATAGCACCTAATTTCTAGATTTAGTTCTAGACTTTATTCACAAAGCTTAAAGGGGCTTTGTTTAATCAATAGTGAAACTGGTACAATAGGACTGTTCTGGCCGCAGACCGGCTGTTGGGCAATTTTCACGTCTATTTTTTTAATAATAAAAAAAATCTAGGAACATAATACGGCGAAAGCAAAGCAAAGGAGGAGCAAATTAAATTTTTTATATAATTTACATTGAGTTTAATTTATATTGTATTTTAATTGGATTGTTGTAATATATTGAACATAATGAAGACTTAATTAGGCGACTTTGTGATCGCATACTGCTTGATATATTTCAAGAATTGTACTGGTAGGTATCATTCAATTTAATATTGTGTAAAATGCTCAAAGCTTATATTAACTTCGAATTATAATAGTTTATTTATCTAAAACATATATTTGTAAATATATTTGCAACAAAAATGATATGACAGTTATTAGCATTACAAATCAAAATAATGAAGTATTTCAATATTAAAACACTAATGTATTGCAAATTCAGACTGTTCATTTAAAATATAATTAACGTGTGATATGTAATCCTAAAGACACATATTTATCTGTAAAAAGACAATCAACAACAACATTATTTAAACTTTTGAAGAAGATGATTATGTTTGTAATATTTGATTGCATGCGAAACAAAGCTGAATTCTAAAGAACAGACCAAGTCGCTATTGTTCCTGAGATACTTGTCCGAGTCTATATAATCCATCAAAGTTGTCATAAATGTTACTTTTAAGAATGCTGTATTCAAAAAAAATTAGGACAAAGTAATTTTCAAATTTATGTGTAATGATTAGGGTAATGCTAGAATTAAATATTATTTAAATGCATCACATAACAATTTTGAAATGAATAGCTTTACTTTTTAATTATGAATAAAAATTAATTCAGATGATTTTCTTTATATGACACCTATGAAATATCATCAATTGAAAACTGTCAATGGCACAATGGATACAGTTCCAAAAGTTACACGAAAAATTTTCCTAGTTCGTTTACAAAACTAAGTGACTTGTTTGCTTTAAAATAGTTAGAGAATTAGATAGACCTCAAACGGTTTGTCATGGCCATATCTATACGTATAACTGAATTAATTTAAAAATGGACTTGTAATCATTATATATTTTGTAATACAAAATTTTCTAGTTATTAAAGAGAAAGAGAAACAAAATTTACAATTTAAAGAGCACAAAAAGAAGAAAAATACAATAAAAGGCTTAAAAAATTAAATAAGTAGATGCGCTAAAAGCGCACAACTTTCAATGGAATGGTTCCGCTATGCAAGACATGGATGCATCCAGTCTTCGAGACATGTCTGAAGACTGTTTTGCAAATATCTTAGCATACCTAATAGATCCTTTCCACATTTTGTGTGTAGATGGTATAGAAATAAATTCATTAACTACTCTAACTACTCTCTTCTACTCTAATATAAACATAATCGTGCTTTTTAAGTTACATTATGTACAATTATAAATTAAATAAATGAAATGCATAGCATATCATGTATCAGTTAAAAATGATCATACAGATCATATTTTTTTTTAGCTACAGTTATTTTATTTAATACAATTTGTAATTATATTTTTTATAACAAAATAAAAAATAAATCAATTAAATCAATTTTTATTACTACATTCAACGAGCTGTAAAAAACTAGCAATTTACTCGCATTAAGATTGGCTTCTTTTAAATACATTCTTTTATTTATACTCACTTATAGTTGTGTTAAATCTTATGAACAACCTTGAAATTATATACAATATACCGTCACAGAAGTACACTTTTACTTCAATAGAAATTGTTCATTTTCATAAAAATGCTTAAACTGAGCTCTTTGAATATATTGAATATATTGTATTGTAGAATTATGTACCAGAAATATTAACACAAGTGTTGGCCTACAATGCTCTTAACACATTTTCCCCAACTTTTTACTATACAATTATTTTAAAATTTAACAGCTGTGAAAATAGCTTTAAACTTGCCTAATATTTTTGATGTTATTTTACTTCAACAGTTCATAAAATTTCAGATACTTTAGTCACGTTTTAAAATTATTCAACTTTCGCGAGTACTCCTATGTCTTGCCGCTCGCGTTGCCGTTTGAAAACTGATAAAAATTGAATTCAGAACTCACAATTGACATCGGCATGAGAACTACTCGAAAAGCTAACAAAGTCGAAAGTTTTTAAGTAAAAACAAACCAGCGAATAAATAAAATAAGTAAACAAAGTAATGTAAACAAACTCAACATTACTTGCTCTTGATTCGATGCAGCTAGTAAAGAGTAAAAAGAAACTAATAATATTTAAAGAAATTTTAACAAAATAAAAGAACTTCAGATATAATTCAACTCAAGCGAATCGCAAAATATCTCTCGTTCTGACTCAGAATTATTCAAGTCGTTGATTTATTAGAGCAGCGAAACTCAAAATTCAAAGGCTTAACGAGTAGAGTAAGCGAGTAGCGAGCGACCATGTGCCTGCTATGCAATGTAGGATTCGCGCATTGTCATATGAGATATCACGGGATATCATTTATGTGTCTAAATAACCATCGTTAATAATTAAAGTTGAGGAACAAAATAATTTATATTTATGAAGGCGAGTACTCACTCTAATGTACATAAATATCAAATCACAGTCATATGAGTAGTCATGAGTTATCAAATATTATGCATGCATCCCATTAAAAATTTATTATTTTTGATTAAAATAATAAATATCTAAGAACTGAATAAGTTGTAGGATACTATTAGTTTATATAAAAAAATAACAACAACAATTAAACTATTGAATTGATTAAAGCATTGCTTTTTACACTTCATACTGTAATCAATAAGGAGTATAATAAATTTACCAATATGTTTGTCATGATATATAGTACATACAGTGGCTCACAGCTTATTTGATGCAGGCAAAAATTTTTTGAAAAGTGTTTTTTATTTCAAAATATGGTATATGGCAAAATTAAAAAAACAAAGTATACAAAGTTATTATTTGTAGTGTTGTAATTCATTTCCAAGAACAAAAACCCGAAAATCTTTTTCCATTCTTTAGTAATGCAACAAAAACCAAAAACAAAACAAATGAAAAATTCATGTCACAGCTTAAATGATGCAGTTAAGAATACCGTTAATATCGTCGTCATTTCAGACGGAAATAAAAATATTCTTATTTTGCGATCATTTGTAATCATATTTTTGAGGAAAAATACTTAAAAAATTAAAGTGCATGCATTTTATTAACCATGGTACGGGGTGCATCAACTGGAAAGCGAGATTTGGCATTGGATCATTTAAAAAAGGGAATTTCCCAACATAATATAGCTGAAATGATAAATCTACGCTCTTCAACAGTTCAGCACATAATTGAACACTTTTTATATAAAAATTGTGTAGAAAATATGAGTCAAAAAGCTCCCAATCAAATTTTTAAAGTAAAAGAATCAAGATGGTTAATAAACCAAGTTCGAAAAATACAACAACAAGCGCTCCAAAGTTGGAAGTATTGGACAAAATACACTTAGGAAAGACGTGTCATTCTAAAACCGTCCACAGAATATTGGAATAATCATATTTAAATAGAAAAATAGCTCTAAGTAAGCCTTTTGTAAATTTAAAAAGAAAAGAATCAAAAGTTGCAGTTTGTACAGGGTTTATAGAGTGCTACAGGGTTTAGAGAAAAAAAATTCATACAATTACAAAAAAATTCTTTAACTCGATGTCTCCATAAGTCGAACTTTTTCTTTACAAAATGGTACTTCGATCTATTTAATAGATCAAATTAGATAGGTCGATTTATTTGGGAAATTTAAGCTCTGACAATTCGTGCTAATGATAAAATCACACAAAACTTATTTCTAGCGATCAAATAAATAAAATCCTTTTCAATTGTTTATTAAAATTTTAATATAATGTTAAAGTTTTTGTTCTTCCAGGAGACACACATATAATTATTAGATTTAAACTTTTGTATATATGAAGTAAAACCAAAATGTTAGTGTAAATATTTCTTGATTTTAATTTGAGGAACTTGAAAATGAGATCTTTGTCAGAGGCTTTGTGGTCCAACGCTTTCTGGACACAGAAAATTTAACAATAGCTTTGTAGAATAAATTTTTGGCACGGAGGTACGGAGTAAATGACAATATTTTCTGAAAAGTGCATATAATTTTGGATAGATTAGTCATATCTACCTATGCCTCCATTACATTTTGGTCCAACAATCCAAGAAAAATTGAACTCCATATCTGGTTTTTGAATTTTACGCCTCTTATTTAATAACATAAGAATGACTTTTAGTTTAGAATGACTTTTAGGGTAAAAGCTTTACAAATGTTGGCAACAGTGGCCACAACTTTGGCTAATACGTACTATTTCAGAATTTTATCTGGGAACAAAAAAAGTATTTATTATTATTATTTATTATTATATTATTTATTATATATTATTGTATTATTATTATTATATTATTTATTATTATTAGTATTTATTGGTGAAAATTAAAATGACGTAAAACTCTTTCTAGTGTAAATATTACAGTTAATGTTTGGTGGTGGTTTCACCACAGATATACATATTACGATTAATTTCTCAAAAAATAGATTTATTCTTAATTAATTTAACAGTTACAAAATATATATTCAATCATATGATTTACACGATCCCCAGATAAGACTAAACAAATCTGGCCATCTAGCTCCATATAGAACTAGGAAAGTAATTAAATTATTAGGACCAGAACCTGCCTACTAGGTTACCATACACAGAAATTGGGAGTTCAAGCGGGCGAACTTTGCGGTTTTTACCAATAAAAAGAAGTAGTGTAAAATGTATGCAACTATGTATAAGTAATCTGAATGCATAATGACGAGAGGAATTCGCTAATAGAGCATTTTCATCATTTCTAAATAAACTTAAGACTGAACACATAACAATGATCATTCAATATTCACTGTTACAAAGTATACTAAGTCCATGTATATTGCCAATGCTCAGGCGTACCAAATACCTTTTTTGTACGATCAGCATTTTTAGGCTGTGATAAACTCTAAAGAATAATTATATACTTGCATTAGAAATTGTAAAATCTCAAGCACATTTTATTATTATTACTAAGTAACAACTGGTGTATTACACTTTTTACCCGTTGACTTAATTTAGCTACAGTGAAACTACTCATTAATGACATAAATTATAACTTATAGCGTTATTTCTTACTTACTATTTTATCCATTATTTTTGTTGAATGTTTGTCGAGAATCAAGTAACTCATAATCAATTTATACAGTACTTGTATTTTTGACCATAAGATACAATCTCAAAAATATTAGTATAATATTATTAATAATGAAAGTTAAAAATACTTTTTATATTTATTAATGATTATAGCACAAGTTGATCTTATCATATATCAAAAAATAATTTAAGTCTTCTCATAATAAAGCAAACCTAACAAGTCTAATGTTTTTAGTG